TTGCGGATGGGGTGCACCGGGAAGGAGCTGTGGTCGCCTTCCACTGCCTGCCGAAATACAAGAGCCGGTCGGTGCAGCCCTGACCCCATGGAGAGGGACTCAGCCTACCACTGGTCACCCTGGGCTGGTGGTAGAGTCCCTGTGCATCAAGCGCTTTGCAGACTCCCATGGATCAAGCCTATCACAGACCCTTGTGAATCAAAAGTCTTGGAGATTCCCCGTACATCAAGAGTCTCGGAGACCCCTGCGCATCACGGGTCTCAAAGATACATGTGCATCATGGGTCTTGGAGATCCCTGCGCATCAAGGGTCTTGGAGATCCCATGTGCATCAAGGGTCTCGGAGATCCCCACGCATCAAGGGTCTCGGAGATCCCCACGCATCAAGGGTCTCGGAGATCTCCACGCATCAATGGTCTCGGAGACTCTCATGCATCAAGGGTCTCAGAGATCCCCATGCATGAAGAGTCTTGGAGATCTCCGTCCATCAAGGGTCTTGGAGAACCCATGCACATCAAGGGTCCTGGAGATGCCCGTGCATCAAGTGCCTTGGAGAACCCATGTGCATCAAGGGTCTCGGAGAACCCATGTGTATCACAGGTCTTGGAGATCCCATGTGTATCAAGGGTCTTGGAGACCCCTGCGCATCAAGGGTCTCGGAGATCCCCATGCATGAAGAGTCTTGGAGATCTCCGTCCATCAAGGGTCTTGGAGAAGCCATGTACATCAAGGGTTTCGGAGATCCCCGTGCATCAAGGGTCTCGGAGAACCCATGTGCATCAAGGGTCTCAGAGATCCCCATGCGTCATGGGTCTTGGAGATCCCCGTGCATCATGGGTCTTGGAGATCCCCGTGCATCAAGCATTTCAGAGACGGCTGTGCATCAAGCGCCCTGGAGAGCCCCACACATCAAGCATTTTGGAAACCCCCATGCATCAAGCATGTCAGAGACACCCATGCATCAAGCACGTTTGAGATGTTGGCGCAACCAGCAGCACCAGAGCAAGCAGTACCACATCAGAAAGGGTTCAAATCTCCCCAAAGCTGAGCATGACTCCAAGCTAACCATGGCCCCAGGACCCCTCAGGAGGAAACCGATGGGAAACTAGCAAGGTGGAGAGGACTGGGGGGTGAGGAACAGGGCTGCTAGGGGCTGAGTTCCACCATGAACCACCAGCACCTAGGGCTTTGCTGGGCGTGGAGGAGAAGTGGGCATGCTCACCATGTTGAGGAGCTCCTGGAGCAGGCGTTGGGTGGGCTGGCCCTGGCTCCTCAAGACCTCATAGAGGTGGGCATAGCCGATGCGCTCCTTGAACACCTCCTGCAAGCACCCCGGCACGTGGGACCCTGCACCGAGCCCCACCATGTGCTGCTTTCACCCCAGTCCACCCCACAGCGTGAAAACCCCCCAACCCCAGCCATTTTTGGGGTGTCCCCTCCCACCCCAGTCCACTGCCCACCTTGGCTGAGGGCGAGTTGCTCATGATGGCGGTGAGCACCCCGATGGCGTGGACTGCGATGGCGTCGGAGCTGCTGTCGAACACCTACGGAGACATGGAAGTGGTGGGTCTGCTGAGCCACGGGGTTGGGGAGGGACACAGCCCACCACGCCTGGTAGTTTGCTTATGGGGTGGCCTCACACTATACCTGCTGGAGCCCGTCCCCATCTGGTGGCCTCATGAGGACCTTGTCCTGGGCTTCACCCGCCTCCCGTGAGCTGCTGAGGTAGAGCTGTGGGGCACGGGGGGGGG